GATGGATGGATTGATGGACGGGTGGATGGATGAAGGGATGGATGGATGAAGGGATGGATGGAAGGATGAACAAAATAGCACTGCTAGAAGTGAACAAGAGTAGCTGTTTGTTGAACAGTTGTGAGGATGAGTCTTTCACATTCTGGTCCTTTATGCATGGGTGCTGGCTGCAAAACATATATCAAAGTGTTTGGAGCAAAAATGAAAATGTAAACTCAAATGAAACCAAAGCTTAATCTGTTTCTGTCATTAAAATGCTAGATACCACAGAAAATTTGAAAAGCAGTTTTAAAACAGACCGCAGTCATAACTTCAAACTTCACTGAGAAAATTCATTTTATTCATTTTTTATTCATTTTAAAGTTCTTTCTTTTTGACACTGTAGGAAAATAAGTTAATTTCCACTTTTATTGACAGTTATATGCATTTTACTATCAGTCTGCTCTGAAGAAAACATTGCGCGGGATTGTTGTTTATGTAATTATGTACTGATTTTATTTAATATTTAATGTGTATCTGTTTTAACAGGCTGTTTTTTTTAATTAAAACATTTGAATATAAGCCACAAACATTACAAAAGCTGAGATTCTGAGGTGAAACAGTCACATTCATTCTCTTCTCCAAAGCGTTTTGCTCGTCTTTATTGTGGGTAATGGAGGGCTATGTTGCTGATTCAGCAAATGGTGCTTAATGGTCCTCGAAGGAGTACAAGCAATTGGTGCAGATGAACAAAGAAACATGACAGTACAATATTATATGAGATATAATACAGGGCCTATACAGATAAATGTAATCACTATTAGCTCTAAGAGTACCACATATTGAGCCAAAAACCCAGAGGACTCCGCAGGGGAGGAACAGTGGACGAGCAGGAGACGAGACAAACACAAAAACCCTCTTTCCACTGGCTGCCAGTATCCAGGACACGAACCACGGAACAAAACTAACAGACAGGCTAACAGAAAGACAAGCAATGATCTGGCCCTGAATGCTCAGGCTGAACTGAATATAAACCACATGAAACAGGTGAGAGGAATAAATTATAATTGAGGCAGGGAGGGAAAACCACAGGTGAAAGGGATTACTAATTAAGGAGCAAACAGGCCAGATCATGACACAAACAACAATTCAAGCACACACTTTTCTATCAAACATGTAAGATAAAAAATGTCTCAATAATCCAATAATATTGAATGTTCTAAAATGAAGATACTCACTGTCTGTGTCTGTCCTGAGGAGTAATTGAATCAGTCTGTGTGTCATCACCATCATTAGTGTTAGGACTGTCCTGATCCAATATTGATAGTGGAAATCAGTTGGATATCAGCCAAAATATGAATATTGCAATATAGTAGCCTAAACCTAAAATCTTCGACATTAGAAAGCTCATAAAAACACTTTGCTTCTGTTTCTGTGCAGAGTATTTAGCTTCTGTCTAGCTAGTGGCTGGCGAGCTCAAGTGGTAAGTCACCCGTCATGCAAACAGGAAGCGTGGGTTCCCTAACCCTCTCCCATGGACAGCCACTCTGGATCCCTGACCAAAAGACCCCACACTGCTCTCCGGGCGCTGCACAATGGCAGCCCACTGCTCCCCAAGGGAGGAGGAAGTGACTTTCATTGCACTGTACTTGTGACCGTCTAATAACAAGAAAACGCTGGGGGAAAAAAAAAGCTAATGTAACTCTTTGGTGGATAACAAAATGGGCCACTGTTCTCATACCTGTTGTTGTTGATTATTGTTCTCTGTTTGAGATTAATCACTTGACCAAGCCTCATGTCACAATATAAAATAGGCAATAAAAGATTGTATGATTCAGGCTGATATGATATTGAGAAATTAAAAGTTGCATACGGATTTCTCTCATTTGTTCATGTTGTGGTGTTGCTCTAAAGTCCCCTGACTTGAACATGGGCTGTATAAGCACATGCCAATTAACATATTTCACTCACCTCAGCATGCTTAATGCTTAGAGCAGTTCCCACATGAGGGGATGGGATCCATTCATTGTCTTATTTAATAATTACTGATTTTATATCTCTGTGTACTTAATTTCGCTATTCTGATCATGAAAATGTGTTTCATGTAAAGCATGCTAAAGTGGTTGCATTTTGGCCTAAAGACTCCACATCTAAAGGACGTTGTCCGACTCCATACAGAAAGAAAAAACACATTTTAAATAATTTGGTGTTGTTACATTGTGGTACTTTGTTCTTGAATATATGTTACCCCAGCTGCAGCATAGCCGGATGGTATATGGGAGCTGGAAGAGTAAATAAGAGTATCCTCTTCTTATTCAGAACCACTATAGAAACAAGAGTTTGGACCCTACACCTCAGCTGCCCTGAATCATTACTCATTTGAATCTTTTAAAAATTCTGGGAAAATTGTGTCTGGTTATGTTACTAATATTTATCCTGTGAAATGAAAATGAACTGCTCACCAGCTGCATCTCTAAGCCTCATGTCCTCCTGGCTTTTAGGGGTGTGGTGCGGGTGGACGTTAATCTACAGGATGTTGATATCGACCAGTGCTCCACTGACGGTTGGTTTGCTGGAACCCATCGATGCAACCTGACCACTATGGAGGTAAGTGTGCCAGACGTGAGGCTCAGACAGGGATCGATTGACTTTGGAAAAATGAACTGTAATATACCCCCTGCCTCCCCATTTCCCTACCCCATTGCCATGAAGCTCTGAAAGAAAAATCAGTAAATCAGCATGACTTGTGACAAAATGGACGCTGTTCTGACTGCTACTAGTGCTGCTGGCAGACACTGTTTTTTAAAATGTATCAACATTAAAGTACCTTGATCCGCGTTTTCCATGCAGACTGCAGCATTCACCTGCAAAGCACCAGGAATACAGAGAAGAGAGACGTCATGTTCCAACATGAAGTTTTATTAAAGGCACCTACAACATGTCTTGGTTATTACCTCCATCAAGGCTGCTCTGAGATGAAAAATACTGTGTTTTTATCTGTTGACACTTAGTCCACCACCACCTGGTATGAAACAAGGTCTGAAAGACAGGTATTGTAAGTTTGGTTAGCCAACAAAAAGAGGTGCACCACATAGAGGCTCAGCTCAAGTCTGGAGAGTCTGTTTCCAGGGTCAGAACAAACACATTTAGCAAATAGGGACTGAGATATAAGGTTAGAAGGAATATGTTTTACACCAGCAGAGAGAAAACAGATGGTTGTTTTTCTTCTGACTAAATTGCCCTGTCTCAGTGCGCCTGAGCATGAAGCTCTTACGAGCTCTTAGAGAGGGTAATAAAACTATAAGCAGATATTTCTAGGTGGATGTCAGACATCCAGTCCAGTATGATGCTGAAAATCCTTCACATTAATTTGATTTTAATTTGAATTAATCAGTTTATTTATATAGTAGCAATTCACAACACATGTCATCTCAAGGCACATTATAGAGAGAATTCAACCACATCATAGTCAGATTGGTTCAGTTTTATATCGAAGGAAATCCAGTCAGAGAAACAGGACAACACTGAAAAACAGGTCAAGCTAAAACATCTATAAACAAATATTCTGCTGGCTGAAGCAAAGCTGATATTTCTCTCCAGAATGGTGTCACAGACAAACAGGAACAGACCAGATGAAGCTACTACTACTACAAGCAAAGCCAAGGATGTTGATTATGTTATAATCAGATTTACTGCTTTAACTTGTCCATTTATGGTAGCATGAAATAAAACTACAGTTTTAATGTGGTACCTGGTGACTGGTAGAATATTATAATAGCAATACAAATAAAAAAAATATTTATTTAGACTACGACTGTAAAGTTGAATATATATACATGGGAACATATAGGTCCACAAATTTCCTTTCAATTTCTAGTCCCGTTTTGTACTTATCATTTGAAAGTGAAGGGATTTATTACATTGCCACCCTCAGGCTGCCAAGGGTTTCAGGTCAGGATTTTTTTTAGTATAACACAGTAAATCCAACAGCTCCCAGTGGTTAGACATATTTATGTTTATTAAAACTTTAAGTTGAGGTGAACCAATGTAAGATATCACAGACATGCTGCAAATGAAACTGTTCCATAATGCATGCGATGTAATGTATGGCGGTGAGCCTCTTTAAATAATTAAACACACTCTTTGTCTGAGTACTACCACCCCTCCCTTTGAGAGTGCCAGCGACTTTTGACCGCGTCTGTGTTTGTAAAGATGAAAACCTATGGCAGCAACGTTCGCTTGTTCCATGAGTGCAGCAGTGTATCCGAACTTTGCTTTGACTGATGAGACGCCGTTGAGGTTGTAGCTTGTTGCAGCATGTGTTCGTCCTTGTATGACAGCTTTTTTGTGTGCAAGTGCTAATTAGTGTCCTGCCTCTTTGATAAACAGATAAATTACACATCTCTGCAAATAGGAATTACAGTAAGCTATAGCCATATCTGTTGCAGCATTGTGGTTGGTAGAAATTTAGCTATATAGGTTAGAAAGATTAAGGAATGCTTCACCTACTTGAAAAAAATGCCATTTAGATTTGTTTTTTTCCCCCCACTAATTCAAATCTCCAGCCTCTAATAAACTGCTATAGGAGTCTTAATCATACAACTGATGTTACGTACTTTTGTCAACATAAAAAGTAGCTGGAGAGTTATTCCTGCAGCCGAATTTGAGCCAAAGCAGCTGCTCTGCCATTTGACCGACTTTACCTACAATTCAGCAAGACTCAGGCAGAGGCTAATGCTATGGCTCATCAAAGAGTTACTTGTAGGATCTATTTGAGAACCCACGTATTATGTGTGGTTTTATTTTTTGTCCATTTCTTTCAACTTACCGTATTTTCTGGACTATAGGGTGCACCTTAATATAAGCCATGCCAACTAAATTTGAAATTAAAAACTGGAAACCTACATATATAAGTCGCACCAGGCTATAAACTGCTGATAGCTATTGAACTGTTTCCCACCAAACCTGAAGGGGGAGATCTACATATAGCCCCTGGAGAATGGTGGGAGAAGAATGTTAGCTCCAGTTAACTTGTTGGCTCGCAGCAATATTACTCTTTAAATTGTACCAATAGTACCATCAGCTCATTTGCACTTGCACATAAAAAATAGTAAGCGTACTAAACTCTAATGTGTTAAAGGTTATTAATGTATTACTGAGAAAATAAATGCCTTAAAATCCTTCCTGTGTTATCACTCGTCTGTGCCTGATCTGCACCGGAGTTAAACATAAATCTAGTCTTTTTGAGTTTTATGTTTTCCTTTCGTGTTACCATTATTGTATATAGTGCGTAACCTAAAGAAAGAAACAACTATAATGCAGATACAGTAAACATGGTTAATTATATTTTGCCAGACTACTCTGAGCATGTCCCATGATGACCTCAGGCAAGCAGTTTAAGGGAGAAAATGTAGAAAGCATTTAAATTGTCTCAGAAAAGTCATACAGAAAATTTAAGATATGTATTAGCATTCTTTAGTGAGTTTAGGATAAAAATAAGTAATTCTAGTACCATAATTATATTATTTATGGATACCCAAATGTGTATCTGGTTGCACACGTGCAAATGGGCTTATGGTATGGATCGTGCTTAAAGGACGGATCGGGTAGTGACAAAGCAAAAGCTGTTGCACTCATCTTTTAGCCGACTGACTGGCATTGCAAAGCGACATGAAGGGAAGGATCACACTTTTTCTTGCATCATAGTGAAAAGATGTTTAAGCTGTAAGAATAACATTAACATAAAAAACGCATATGTTGATGCTGGTGTGTTTATTTATCATCTTAAATTTTTTTTATTTATTCTAGGATACGATAGGATGGAAGTTATTTTAAATGAAATAGGCTTGATTTGTCTAGGAAGCTGGGGTTTGTCCTGCTCTAGTTTTGAAATCAGAACTCAATTGCTTTGGTGCGACTATAATTAATAAAACAAGTAACAAAGTACAAAATTTAGTCTTAATTGTAGAGTTTTACATTGTTAAAACTATATGCTCAATGTCACAACTGTCCTAAATGCTAATAAATATAGATTACAATCGTTATTTAAATTGGATTTTGAATTTGTGGTTGCCCCTTGCCGTTTCATATGAAATTTGGACTTTAGGAGGCATTCAAGTTGTATTACCATCTGGAAAATTAAGAAAAGATAGTCTTAGTTGGTTATGTAGAATTATTGCTTCTTCCTTTAAAGCTCATAACATGAATTTGATGCAATAATCAGGGCTTTATCACTTGACTGGAAATAAGTCGAAAAAATTACAAAAGTTCAGGGAAAACTTTTAAAGGCATTCAAGCTATTGATCAACAAACTTTAATGTTCCAAATATTTCTGATTTTCTTTAAATTAAACGAAACTGGAGTGGTTTATATTTTTTTTCTTAGTGTCAGCATGGACTCCTTACCCAAACTATAAGTTGGATCACGAACAATATAAAAAAAATGTGCTGGTGAAGCTTCTTAGTCATCCAGGTCAAAGTCATTCCGAAAAAGTAAAAAAAAAAATCAATCCAATGGACTTGGTTTTCAAGACGTTTTGAAGACGTTTGGCTTCCCATCCAGGAAGCTTTTTTTTTGCAGAAATAGAGTTCA